TGGTTTATTGAATATATTATATATTCAATTGCTGAACTTGATGTTTTTATATAGCAATTGCAATATATTTTTGGGTTTTGGCATATTTGAGTGTATATATATATATATGGATTTTGACAATTTCTATCTATGTTGGTTATGTGTGGGGTACTTGGGTTGTTGATGTGAGATTTTGGAAAGAATTGCGATTATAGTATGTCAGTTGAAGTGCTATATGCACTACCCTATGTACCTCCCCGGTTACGGAAATTATGGAATAGAATTGGATTATTGAGATACTTGGATATGTTGGAACCCGGCACCTTGACGGGGTGTTTTGTAAACACAAAGCGGGGTAGTCTGTGCACGTAGGACTTGTCGCAGGCGTACGACTCTTGAAGATTCGACTGTATGTGCTGGTAGAGTTAGTCCCCTGGTTGGACGGCTCGTTCCCTTGCCACATGGTCAATTGAGGATTCTTCCATGTGGACCAGTCATACAATCCCTGGTTGGATTATTTCCCCGGTACAAACTAGGTGATGTCATTTATATATATATATATATTATACATATATACATATACATCTATTCATTCGTTCTTGTTTCTCAGTGAGGATACTTCCTCCCTCATTGTGCCAATGGGTACGCGTTTCGAGAGTTTAGTTTGGGAATCGTAAGGAAAAGTTTGGATGGGTTGACTTATAAAGTTTCATTATGGGTTTTTGGATTTAGTTATGGTTTTGACCAAATTTTATATATATAGGGTTATGACGGTTTTGAGTGCATATGGTTTTCTGCATCGTTTTCTAAACGGTGGGGGTTATATTACTTTGGTTTCAATTGAACTAAATTTTGTTTTGCCCACTCACACTTTTCTGTTTTGCATCCCTTTGCCAGTAGTTGATTGAACTGAGCAGCAGAGCCGGGTCGCGAGCTTCCAAACTCCGAGCCTTCGTAGGGCTCCTTTACTCTTTTATTGCTGTTGAACTCCCGTTTCTGTTTGTATTTTGAATTCTTAGATATGCTATGTTATCGCCCTGTAGGGTTTGATTTGTGAGGCTGGAGGCCCTTGTTGTAAACTATTTATTTGTTCTGAAGCATGTTGCCTATTGGGATATTAAACTGTGATTTTAACATGTTGAAAAATTTGGGAAAATGTCCATTTTTCAAGGGAGACTTGGTCTTTAGTAAGTGGGCTCGGCATCGGGATGATACCGGAAATACGACAGGATTTGTCCCGTTTCGAGGAATCCGGGGCGGATCCTATCAGTTTAAGGTTTTTTAGACCTGCTGAAAAAGTAAACATGATTTTTTTGGTTTCATGAACATAATGTGACCAATAGAAGCCAATAGTTGTAGGTTGCAGCACGTCTTTGATGAAATATACATTTTCTATTTTAGTTTTTTTTTTCTTTGTTTAAAGTTATTTCTTGCTCTGAGCAATTGAGTCCAAGGCAAAAAATTTGACAAGAAAAAGGACTGTTATGTAGCGCGAGTCCAAGGCAAAAATGCGTTCTTCACTTAGACGTGTTTGGGGACAGCGTTTAAAATGGAAACGGTTAAGGGAGAAATTATTTCTGTCATGGGTTGAAAGCATAGCAGAGGCGGCTAAGAAAGGTGGTAGCGGACAGCAAGAGCTCTGTTGGGATAGCTATGAGAAGATAAAGCAAAAATTACATCTCCAAGAGCTTCGGCTGGCTGCTGAAAAGAAAAAGGAAAAGGCGAAGGAGAGGGCAAAGAAAAGGGCAATGACAGCAGAACAAGTTAAAGAAAAAAATATGGCAAGGATTGCTCGTGAGAGGAGAAAAGATGGAGAAGTCTATGAAGATACTGAAGAGTTGACAGTTCTTCAAGGGCGGAATTGTAAGCAGAGATTAATGACGGTAATTGCTCAGTAGCCAAGACAATACTAAATTATAGCTAGAAGCAATTATGTAGTTCACCATATATAAATTAGAAATACATGACATATCATATCACTCACAAACTTAGCATAAATAAATAGTATCGCTAAGCATACAATGTTAAGTTCATGAGTAGGTCACAGAGAAGTGAGTTTTGGAGGGGGAGGAGGACTGTTCAAATTACAGATGAAATCTGTTTAACATTGCACCATAATGGTTTGATATATGTAAAGAAACTGACGGTGGATAGAAAAAATGGGTAATTATTGCTTTTCATATTTGAGACAGGGCTAAGGTTAAAATCTTGTATATTGCAAAATTATTTTCTTGATTCATAAACCAGCTTGCAAAATTTCTTCTTCTTGAGGCCAATTTGAAATCCGCACTATCTCACCCTCTGTTCTTGATCTCTTGGCTTTAAACATTTAGGGAACCTTGCTAGATCAGCATATTAATTATTTTCCTTCATGTTTTCTAATCTGTTGTTTTTAAATGGCATCACCTTTTCCAATGTTGTTTGTTTGAGTGTGTTACTGAATTCTCTTTCTTCTTAATAGTTTGAAAGAAAAACTTCAACAAATGGACAAGATGCTGCTCGAGGGGGCATAGTCATGTCGCATATCTCAGCTTTTGAGAAACTGGATCTAGAGCTTATAAAGAGAGAAAAAATGCAGAAAGAATTTTCATTTGCAGACCAGATCAGAGCTGCCAAAAACAAAAGAATGGAATTAACTATGGAAGCCTCATCCTCTGTTCATGCAGCCAACAAGAAACCAGGGGAGTATGCTTAAATTTCCACATTCCTAGCAGCAGTTGAAATAGAGGTAAGAGGTGTATGGAGGGCAACTTTTTTTCTTCTTTAAAGAGGGACAATTTGCTTGTTTTTCTGTAGCTTAATGTTCATTTGTTGATGGTTTGTAGGAAGAGAAACCATCACTCTTGGACGCATTTTTCCAACTAGTCGCAAGTGTCCGGTCATTTGTTTTCAGGGCTTCATTCCAATGTTATATGGAAGAGGTCCATCTGGCGACAGTGCAGTGTTTTTATGTGAAAAATTTGTTAGGTGAATTTGTCATGACCAGAAATTATATCATCCGCTTTCAAGCACAGGAAATATCTGATTTGCCTTGCCAATATCCATGCTGGTTGTGATATTGATTTTAGACAGTCGAGTTAAATTGCAAATGTCTTACAACTTGTTTATTGCAGAGTTGTTATAAGCTGTATAGGATGTGTCATGATTTTTTAACAGTAGTAAAAAACCTCACGGATTTGGTTCTTCTCTTTTAGTTTGTAAACAATTTTATTGTTCTGCAGGGGTTGTATGATGAATTCAAACTCCACACAATAGAGCCCCAAGGTTTTGTAAGTTAGACATGTTAGAAAGGAAACCATAAGTTCAGAGATTTGTAGTTTGTTTTCTCCGAAATAAATTGGACAGCAGCATCATATATTATCTTTTCTTTTCTTCAAATCTATCAGAAACAGTGTACTGAGGAGTTCATAACGATGTTGTAGATTTTTTCTTGCAGCTGAGCTGGGTTATGGTATTGTATTTTCACTTGTCTGCATGTTTAGGGTTTCTTTTACCCCATAACTTTATGAACCGAACAACATATATCCTTTAAATTTGAGTCCGGCTACTTTGAAAGGAAGAAAGAAAAAAAAGGGAAAAGGAAACTGAAAATACAAAATAAAAATTACAATATTAATAATATATATTTAGTCTCTAAGCCTTCTTTTCATCGTGTTGATGCAGATTGTTATGAGCCTATCTTGTAGATTGTCTATGAATAGAAAATACGCATATCTCCATGTGTTGTTAATAACTAAAGAACCACAGACTACCCAAAATCCTACTATGAATCCCAACATAGCAAAAATATAAAACCATGGAAGTTGATGATGCCCATTGCCCTCGTCTTTGTTGTTCTTGTTATCTGCATCCATGTCCTTATTTGGTATGCACTCATTTAGAAGTGGTGCACCAAAAAGTTTTAGATTCCCCTCAAAGGCAGAAGCGTCGAAGCTTTGGAGCTGGGTGCCTGTTGGTATTGGTCCTTCAAGATTATTGTAGGAGACATTAAATTCTCTCAAGAAATTAAGGTTCACCAATGACAATGGGATTATTCCAAACAAGTGATTCATGAAGAGGTTCAAAACCTCTAAATTTTTTAGGTTAGATATTTGGTCTGGAATGACTCCAGAGAAGTTGTTAGAGTGAAGATCCAACTCCTGGAGAAGCTGCAATTGGCCAATCTCAGCAGGTATATAACCACTAATGTTATTGTTAGATACGTCTATCATTGCTGGAAAAGAAGACCTTTTTTTTGGTAGAAAACGATGATTTACACCATTTATGGTGGTGAAGACAGGCAATTCAAATTCATATTGGTCTTCTGCTTGAGATGCAATATTAGGTTCATAAATCAACCTTGGTAGTCTACAAAGTTGCTTTGGAAATTCACCTGAAATTTGGTTGTTTGACAAGCCTATATGAAATAGTCTAGGAAGAGTCCCCAACCAACTTGGAATTGGCCCTGTGATTTGATTACTACCCAAGAGCAATATCTCTAAATTCTTGAGCTTTGATAACCATACAGGTATTTGACCAATGAGGCCACAATGACCCAAACTGAAGAGCTGAAGATTTTGGAATCCGTCAAAATCAACCATTTCATCATCAAATGGCATTCTCCCACCTTTAAAGGCACCAGTAAGCTTGAGTGCGTGAAGACTTTTGCAACTCATCAATATCTTCATTGCCCCTGTGAGGTTGGTGAATCGGTTGTAACCAAGCGAGAGGAAGGACAAGGATTTCAATGAAAGAATCTCAGCTTCTATTTGTCCCTTTAGATGATTTCTACCCAATGCAATGGCTTTTAGGGGCTTACATGAGTAAAGGCTTACTGGAACTGTACCAGTGAAGTTATTGTTCCTTAGATCCAGTTTAGTAAGTTGACTAAGTCTGGAGAAATCAAGAATGGAGATATCTCCTTCCAAGTTGTTGGATCCCAAACGCAGTTCCACAAGGTTTGTGCAATTCATCAACGATGGGGGCAAATTACCTTCTAAATTGTTCAAATCAAGGATCACGAATTTCAACTTGGAGAGCTTCCCCAAATTGGGAGGAAGCTCGCCGCCAAAATGATTAAAGTAGAGGTCAAGGATTGCAAGGTTGGTAAGGTTGGCAATTCTATCACTAATGGCTCCATGTAGTGAATTGACAGGTAATGAAATTTCTTCAAGTTTGGTAGCATTATAGATATCTTCTGGAAGTAATCCAGAGAGGTTGTTATGACCGGCACGAAAAACCTGCAATTTGGAACACTTTCCTAGCCCAAGAGCAAGGTTGCCACTAAATAGATTGGAAGAAAAATCCAATAGCCTAAGGGAGGGAGAAGAATGGAGACAAATAGAGGACGGAACATACCCGGTGAAGGTATTGTTGCTGACATTGAAACTTGTCAAGTTGCTAGCTTGTTGGAAGAATGAAGATGGAATTGCACCAAAGAAGTGATTGCTGGACAAATCAACTGTCTGGATACTGCTGGATGGTAGAGAAAGTGGTAGCTCTCCAGAAAGACGGTTATAGCTCAAATCAAGGATCTCAAGTCGATTCAAAGACAAGAAGAACTGAGTTTCAAGTGAACCATATAGTGAATTGTGGGAAAGGTTCAAGTGGGTGAGATGTGTGAGATTTCTAAGTGAAGAGGGAGGGATACCTCCTTTGAGCCCTTTGGAAGGCAAGAGCAAATGGGTGATCGAACCATCTTGATCACAAGTGATGCCCTTCCAATGACAACAATCAAGGGATGTCCAATTTAAAGGAGGAGAAGATAGAGTGGAGGCAAAGGACATGAGGGAGCTGCGTTCAGTTGGTTTGCAGGCATGTATATTTGTAGATATAATGTAAGGGAATAAGAGGAAGAGAAGGAAGGCATGAGCCATTAGGCTATAAGGCTGCAGTAGCATGTTGCTTTGTGTATGTGGTTGCTCACTGCAGGTGTTTATATATCCATGCTTGAAAACGATGCAAATTTAAAGTCCACAACTCCTTCAAAGTACTCAAAGTTGTTGCCTGACATATGGTGATAATTATTCATGGAATTTGGAAGACATATTGTGTTATTTTTCTTGCCAGACAGTGCCAGTCAAGCCTAATCCAACATTATACGTTGACGTCCTATCCATTTTCAAAGTTGTTTTCAAAAAATCTCACGGATGATATTTTTCTTCTAAGAAAAGTCAAAATTGGAGGATAGTCATTCTTTCCAAGTTGTTTGCCCCACAAGAAGGCAACTACTATAATAAAATATTGATAGCAATAATGTTCAACCATCTGAGTGGGCACAACTTGTCAACTACTTGCTAAATATATTGATAGCAATAAAATGAGTCGTGGAGAATGACTCTAGGAGACGGGCGTTTGGACACAAGCACTGAGAGAGAAAATGATACATACAATTGCTTTTTGGGTTTTGTCTAGATTGTATAATTGATTGAGGGAGGGGGCGGGCGGGGAGAGAGAGAGAGAGAGAGACATAATATTTGACTCCAATTACTTTGAAAAACCACCAGAATTGAACATATAGGCTGCTTCATGACGGGCTTTGCCCTGTTTTTCAACGAAATGGGAGTAAAAAGAGCGGATACTTGATTTGGTAACACGCCCCTGGAGTTATTCAAATGCATCTATTTTGCTAACTTAAGGGGTGTATTCAATTAAGATTTTAAAAGAGTTTAAAAGTTTGGGTGTATTCAAATTAGCTAACTTAACAATGTGGCTCAAGTACAACCTCTTCATAAATTGCCAAAGACAGAAAGGCTATTAATAACTCTTGAATTTTCTTTAGTGATGCCAAAGACAAATTAGCTACCTATCTTTAGTGATGCAATGGCTGCTTCATCCGATCATTCACAACTGGGGCAATTTCCCTTCCCTTTGGGCTAAGCGATTAGTTTTACAGATACTTCATATTGGTAACGTTTGTTATCATAGAGATAGTAGATACTAATATATTAACAGACAAGTGAGAGAGTAGTTCTTATCATTTTTGTGCGGGATATAACTCATGCTCCCGTACACAAATATGTCCCTAGCATGAGCTCCTTCACTCCAAAATGAAATTCTGAATGTCTTAATTGGCTTAAAAGCCCTGAACGCACACCTACATATGTACGTGTTTCTTCCTTATGTCTATAGACAAAGTCCACAAATTTTTGTCAGCGTATGAAATGCATGATCAGTTAGGATATCAAATATTTTGATGATAAATGATTCAAGGCATGAGGGCGCTCACCATACGCTCCTTAATATCAACAAGCAAGGAACCAAGTTAAAAAGACATGAAAACAAATCGCGACTTCAGTATTCAAACACAACCTTTGAGCCCCACATGCCAAAGCACAGCAGTAAGGGAATTCCAATCCAAAACATAGACAGAGACATCAATCCTTCACAATTGACAACCGTATTACATGAATATACATCAGTTTTCATATCTTTGGACTGAGTATGCAAAATAAAAAGTACAATATTAATAATATATATCTAGCCTCTAAGCCTTCTTTTCATCGTGTTGATGCACACTGTTACCATCACATAAAGCCTATCTTGTACATTGTCTATGAATCGAAAATATGCATATCTCCATGTGTTGTTAATAACTAAAGAACCACAGACTCCCCAAAATCCTACTATGAACCCCAACACAACAAAAATATAAAACCATGGAAGTTGATGATGCCCATTGCCCTCGTCTTTGTTGTTCTTGTTATCTGCATCAATGCACTTATTTGGTTCGCACTTATTTGGAAGTGGGACACCACAAAGTTTTGGATTCCCCTCAAAGGCAGAAGCGTTGAAGCTTTGGAGCTGGGTGCCTATTGGTATTGGTCCTTCAAGATTATTGTACGAGGTATTAAATTCTCTTAAGAAATTAAGGCTCACCAATGATGATGGGATTATTCCAGACAAGAGATTCATGGAGAGGTTCAAAACCTCCAAATTTTTCAGGTTAGATATTTGGTCTGGAATGACGCCGGAGAAGTTGTTGGAGTCAAGATACAACTCCTGGAGAAGTTGTAACTGGCCGATCTCAGTAGGTATATCACCACTAATGTTATTGTTAGATAAGACTATCGTTGCTGCAAAAAAATCCAATATATGTGTTGGAAAATTTTGAGTTGCGATTATGCTCCGTAGATAGGCAATTCAAATTCATATGGTCTGCTTGAGATGCTATATTATGTCCATAAAGCAACCTTGGTAGTCTACAAAGTGTCTTTGGAAATTCACCTGAAATTCGATTATTTGACAAGTTTATATAAAACAGCCTAGGAAGAGTCCCCAACCAACTTGGAATTGGCCCTGTGATTTGATTGAAACCTAGTTCTAACAGCTCTAGATTCTTGAGCTTTGATAACCATAAAGGTATTTGACCATTGAGGTCAGAACCAGCCAAACTAAAACGCCGAAGATTTTGGAATCCGTCAAAATCAACCATGTCATCATCAGATGGCATTCCCTCACCTTCATAGGAACCAGCAAGCATGAGTGTGTGAAGACTTTTAAAACTCATCAATATCTTCACTGCCCATGTGAGGTTGGTGAATCGGTTGCCACCAAGTGAGAGGAAGGACAAGGATTTCAATGAAAGAATCTCAGCTTGTATTTGTCCCTCTAGATGATTTTTGGACAATCGAATGGCTTTTAAGGACCTACATGAGTAAAGGCTTACTGGAATTGTACCAGTGAAGTTATTGACCCTTAGGTCAAGTTTAGTAAGTTGACTAAGTCTTGAGAAATCAAGCATGGAGATATCTCCTTCCAAGGTGTTGTTTTCCAAACGTAGTTCTACAAGGTTTGTGCAATTAATCAAAGATGGGGGCAAAGCACCTTCTAAATTGTTGAAATCAAAGGTCACAAACTTCAACTTGGAGAGCTTCCCCAAATTGAGAGGAAGCTCGCCCCCAAAATGATTAAAGGAGAGGTCAAGGATGGCAAGGTTGGTAAGGTTGACAATTTTATCACTAATGGCTCCATGTAGTGAATTGAAAGGCAATGAAATTTCTTCAAGTTTAGTAGCATTATAGATATCTTCTGGAAGTAATCCTGAGAGGTTATTGTGACCGGCACAAAAAACCTGCAATTCAGAACACTTCCCTAGCCCAAGAGCAAGGTTGCTGACATTGAAACTTGTCAAGTTGCTTGCTTGTTGGAAGAATGAAGATGGAATTGCACCAAAGAAGTGATTGCTGGACAAATCAACTGTCTGGATACTGCTGGATGGTAGAGAAAGTGGTAGCTCTCCAGAAAAACGGTTATAGCTCAAATCTAGGATCTCAAGTTGATTCAAAGACAAGAAGAACTGAGTTTCAAGTGAACCATATAGTGAATTATGGGAAAGGTTCAAGTGGGTGAGATGGGTTAGATTTGCAAGTGAAAAGGAAGAGATACCTCCTTTGAGCCCTTTGGAAGGTAAGAGCAAACTGGTGACCCAACCATCTTGATCACAAGTGATGCCCTTCCAACGACAGCAATCAAGAGATGTCTAATTTAAAGGAGGAGAAGATAGAGTGGAGGCAAACGACAGGTGGGGGTTGCGTTCAGTTTGCTTGCAGGCATGAATATTTGTAGATATAATGCAAGAGAGTAAGAGGAAGGGAAGGAAGCCATGAACCATTAGGATATAAGCTTGCACTAGCATTTTGCTTTGTGTATGTGCTGTTGCTCACATGTATATATATATATATATATATATATATATATGAACAACCATGCTTGTGTTGGCGAGTCCTTACTTAGTTAGGATTTTGGTTCCTTACCATGTTAGGATTTTAGTTACTTACCATTTATCTAGTTATATTATAATTGAGATTTATTTCCTATCATAATTTATATTTATTTTCTATTGTAATTTGGATTTATTTCCTATTTTATTTAGGGTTAACACATCTTTGTCCTTGTATAAATACCTCCATATTGGAGAAGAATAATAATATGAGCGTATAAGAGCGTATCTGAATATTTGCCATACTTTGTTTGACATGGTATAAGAGCCTAGGTTTTCTTGTGACCTGTGTTTGCGGTCTTCTTGAGAGTCGTTGCTAATCCTTGAGATCCTCTGCCAAATTGAGAGTCGTTGGCACTCCTCATTCCTAACCCATCATGGGTCTTCATCTTGTATAGTCACCATCTTTTGTTCATCCTCTCATATGTGTTTTCACCGCACCTAGCCTTCACATGCTTCTTTGCTACTGTTCCAAAATTTTTATTTTTCCATCTTTGTATGCCAGATTGTCTTTCTTGATGTCTCAGCTTCTCTATCTTTGAAACTTCATAACAAGTCTCTTTACTCCGTGAGCCTCGTCAGATATTTATTATTGAGCCCATGTTAGTTTCAGTCTCTGACAGGACCCGCCCCGGAATTTCCCCCGGAACCGGGGCGGACCCCGTATTGTTGCCGACATCATACCGATGCCGGGCCCACTTACTAAAACCCAAGACAATCTACCAAAATTTTGGCAGAGTCTCCCCTGTAAAATGCTCAAACCAACAACAAACAACCTGCAATAATTTACATCAATACACA